CAAGTGTGCTGTAAGGAAAAGCAGACTCGGTTGCCATTCAAGAGTAGTGGAAATAGTGCTGCACAATTGCTCGAGGTTGTGCATAATGATTTGTGTGGTCCCATGGAGATGATGTCCATCGGCGGATCTAGACATTTTTTGGTTCTTGAAGATGACTTAAATAAGATGGTTTTTGTTTATTTTTAAAATACAAAAGTGAAGCTCTAGATAAGCTTAAGGAATTTAAATTGCCAATTGAGAACCAAAAAGGGCACAAAATCAAATGTTTAAGGTCTGACAATGGAGGAGAATTTTGTAGTGCTGACTTTGAATCCTTTTTAAATAGTAATGGTATAACACATCAAAAAACAAATCATTACACCCCAAAGCAGAATGGTACTTCGGAGAGAATGAACCGTACTCTGGTGGAGAAGGCGAGGTGCTTACTATTCGATTCAGATTTTCCTAAGCAGTTTTAGGCTGAAGCCATCAATACTGCTGCATACTTAAGGAACAGGTCAGTGGTCAGAGGTCTTGAAGGTAGAACACCATATGAACTCTTCTATAGTAAAAAGCCAGATGTGAGTCATGTTCGAATCTTTGGTAGTGAGGAATTGGTTCATATACCCAAAGAAAAAAGGCAAAAGTTCGACAAAAAGGCAGAGAAGATGTTCTTGGTTGGTTATGGTCAAAATGTGAAGGAGTATAGGCTCTATGATCCCATTAAGAAGAGTGTAATTACCAGTAGAGATGTGGTCATTAATGAAAAACCAAAGTTGCTGAAAAACTTTGATTTCTTAGGATCACCAAGCAATGATATGGCAGTGTCAGAGGTATTACCTCAAGTGGGCGATCCAGACCAAGGTAAATTCCCAGATAGACTGTCAAATGTGGAAGAATACCATTATGTTTTGGATGATGACCTCGGAGATTATTCAAATGACTCAGATATTCAGACAAAGTGATCACACCAGAAATACCAAGTAGACCAAGACGATCCGACAGAACCAAGAAGCCTAAGGTCTTCAAAGACTATGTGACATTTCAATGTCATAAGAAGCAGGAAGTAGATCTGTAAGATATCCCATCCAGTGTGTCAGAAGCTCTATTCAGACCAGACTCGGCCAGATGTAAGAGGGCCATGGATGAAGAGATGCTATCTTTTGCAGAAAATTAGGCATGGGAGTTGGTCGATACTCCAAAAAGTGGAACTTTGGTTGAGTGGAAGTGGGTTTTCAAAACCAAAGTTGATTGTGATGATCAGGTGTGTTATCGGACTCGTTTAGTGGCTAAAGGGTACACTCAACGTGAAGGTGTGGATGAGGAGACGTTTTCTCCTGTAATAAGGTATTTATGTTTACGATTGTTATTAGCCTAATCTGTAAAGTTAGATTTAGATGTTATTCACTTGGACGTGAAGACAGCTTTTTTAAATGGTGACTTGCAAGAAACAGTGTTCATGCGTCAAACAGAATGTTATGTTCTTAAAGGTAATTAAAATAAAGTTTGTCATTTAAAAAAGGCCATTTATGGATTAAAGCAGTCTTCTCAAGCCTGGTATCAAAAAGTGAATGAAATTTTGATTAGACTAGCATTTAATAAATCAGATTATGAGTCATGTGTCTATATTAAAAAAATTGATAAGAGTTTAATTGTAGTGGTTCTATATGTTGATGATTTTATAGTTTTCAGTAATAATAAGGTCCAAACTGATTTATTAAAGGCAGAATTATGTTCAAAATTTAAAATTAATGAGGTCATCTAAAATTGTTTTTTTTTATGAAGATTCATAGGGATAAAGATACTATAAGATTAGACCAGAGTGCATATATTGATCAGTTATTAAGAAAGTTTAATATGGAGGAGTGTAATGTTGTCAGCTCACCAATAGATAATTTTGATTTTACGGAAAGTAATTGCTCAGAACAAGTTGAAAATCTTTTATATCAAAAATTAATTGGTAATCTAATGTTTTTAGCAGTTTTGACAAGACCAGATATTGCATATATTGTAAGTTTCTTGAGTCAATTTCTTTTTCTTTCAGTGCCTATTCGTTCCGAATATTGGCAATCATTCTGGCTATAATTATTTTATTAACTGCTGCTTTAAATAAATTCGTTGTTGTTGTGGAGAACCATTTCCTCAGGTTCTTCAACCATGATATTCTCCTTCTCCCAATTCCTCGCTTTCCGAATACTTTACCCTGTAGGATTATCTTCAGTAATCTGTATTTAGTGCTGTTTCTCATTATATGTCCGAGATATTCCAACTTTCTCCTTTTAATGGATACATCACTCATCATATACATGATGAGTCAATTTAATAAGTCATAATGAGTATCACTGGAAATGTGCTAAAAAGATATTGAGGTATTTGAAGGGGACTAAAGACATGTGTTTGACTTATTTTGAATTTAACAGGGTTTGTTGATGCTGATTGGGCCTTAAATAAGTTAGATAGAATATCTAACACAGGTTTTGTTTTTAAACTTTCGGGTGGTGCGATTTCTTGGAAGAGCGTTTAACACAAATCAGTGGCTCTTTCTAGCACTGAAGCGTAGTATGTTGCTTTAGGGGAGGTTGCTAAGGAAGGCATTTACTTGAGGAATTTGTTGTCGAAAATTCAAGGAAGACTGGATTCAGTTGTTTTGTATAATGACAATCAAGGGGCTCAGAAGTTGTGCATAAATTAAGTATTCCATGAGAAAACAAAACATATTGACATTCGCCACCATTTAATCAGAGAGGCTATCCAAAATAATGTTATTGAGTTGAAGTATTTGAGTACTGATGAAATGTTGGCTGACATCCTTACTAAAGGGTTGAAAAATGTTAAAAATATTCTAAATTTAGGCTGGGTTTGGGTTTAAAAGTTTAGATATTTTTTTGGTAAGTGAAGGTGTTGTGATGCATAAAAAAAAGGTATTTTAATACATGTAGCGCCATCTTTGTATAACTTTTGTAAACACTCGATGTATGGCGTGTTGCCAATATTGATTATTGAAATAAAGCAGAAGTCATTGCAATCGAACGAAACATGGCGTTTGTTATTTCAATGTACCCTAGAAAATCCTCACTTCCACTATAATTTTCAAGACTATCAAATTCTCCATTTTAAATACAAGATTGATGTTCACTTATTCTAACATTTAATGGTCTTGATGATTCACCTAAATAAAAATGATCACATTTATAAGGTATTTTATAAATACGATTTTTTTTTTCTTTCTTGTTCATTGTTAGGTTCAATTTTAGATAAAGTAGCTACCAATGTTTTTGTTGTTTTGAATGTTGTTAAAAGGTTTAATTTAGTTTTTAATATTTTTTAGTTTTTCTGATAATCCTCTTAAGTATGGTATTATTATTTTCCTCGTATTATTCCTTACGTATGACATAGTGTCTATTTTATTCAGTCGATTGTTGAAAATTTTCAACATTATTCATTTTTTAATAAAACATTTTTTGTAATAAATAAATTATTATTATTTAAAGCGAATCATGCTATGATTTATCTGACGGATATTATCAAGCTAAAGTTGATTTCATGTAATCAAATGAAGTTCGAGTTCTTAACGGAAGTTCGAGATCTTAAGTTACAAAAAAAAGGTTAAGCGTTAACATGCCTTTTATGTCCGTAGCTGGATTGATAATTTCCATCGTTTTCTGTTCTTAGCTGTCCGCTTTCCATCTCTAATTCACAACTCTCTGACATCTTCCATCACTACATCACCCAATATTCTTAACCTGTCTGGTATGTTGCATTCTTTCTAGATGTTCGAGCCATTCTAGTATACGTTTTTTACTATTTTTTTTTTCTTGTATCATTAGCATACAGTTTGTATACTTCTACATTAGTTAGTCTTCTCCATTCTCCGCTACTACTTTTTCACTAAACAATTCTGCGAAATATATTTCTTTTCCATGCATCCAATCTGTTGTATATGGTTTTTTTCATAGTCCATGGCTCTGAAGCGTATGGCATTGTGGGTCTAATTATAGTTTGTATACGATAATTTTTGTATTACAAGATAGATCTTGGGCCTTAATGATTTGGTTCATGACCTAGCATATCTATTGCTCTTGGTCAGTCCCAGGTTGATTTCAGTTTCTTTCTTGCATGTCTGACCAATAAGGGTACCTAAGTACATACATTCATCTACATTTAAGAATTCTACAACTGATCCATACTCCACCCCAATTTCAAGGAGCCCCTGGTGCTAATTCCTCTTTGCTTGATATTTCCATGTACTTGGATTTATCAATATTGACTCAATTCCATTTTAAAGCTTTTCCAAATCAGTTTTTGCTATACTTGCCAGTTCTTTTCCATTTTTTGCAATGAGAATCACATCATAAGCGTACGCTAAGCATTGGTGCTCTTTGTATAAAATAGTGCCAAACCCATTTATCCCACTAACCCTTATATTTTTTTCTAGAACTAGAAGTCCTCAATCCCTCCTTAAAAATGATATATACACAGCAGTGGCTATTATTAAGTAGACACTTCAAAAAATATGTTCCCCTAGTCTGGACCAATATGCCGATTAAAACTTTTCAGTTGCCTCCACCATCGACACTTTCAACAGAGGAAAAAGAACAACTACCAAAAGTGTCCTAGGATTCCAATCTAAATTTTCAATACGAAAAGGACAAACATTTTGACTTTTAAAGTTTAGTTTCTCATAAATATATTGCCATCAGCACTTCAACATTTAAAGTTTTAATTTTACTGAAAAACTGTTACGAGGCTAGTAAGTACTAAAATTGGTAAGAATTTTTGGTAGCTATGTTAAGGGGCGTAGTAAAAAGAATGGCAAAGTCCCAATGGCGTCACATTACAAATGAATTTGGGAAACCCTCCTACAGAGGATATTGGTTGATCACTCTTTTTTTTTTGCTCGAACTTTTGTCTTATAGTCAGGTACAAATATTGCTTGTAAAACATAACCTATAATGGATAATCCAATTACAATTTTATTTGTTGAATACACAACATAAATTTTAACGTATTTAAGCATTTACCTCTAACTGTGCACTACTATTATTTTCTTGCCACTTGTCAGTCTCGGCGTCCATTTCTGTAGTTGCTAATTTCATCTCGAGGCCGGTTTTGGCAATTTTCTCTTGCTCTGCCACGTCCAGTCGAACAGCTTTTAAAGGTTTTGAGGTAGTACCATGTTTCTGAAAAAGATAAATATTAAAATGTTATATAAAGGCACTCATCATCTTGACCGACTTCAAAACACTTATCTCACAAATTCACAAATAATTGTTCCCAGGCTAATAATAGGGAATTTTAATAGTCACAACCCAATGTGGGGTTTAAAAAATTTAATATCAAATGCAGACAAATCAAAAATATGTTAACAACAGAAAATTTAAACATTATTATTGATGGATGACCAACCAAACTTAATGTACATACTGGTAAAATATCGGCATAAGATCTATCGATTTGCGAGATAAATATTTCAATCGCGCTTAACTAGTATTCTCTACCCTCTTTACATGGGACAGACTATGATAGTCTAACATAAAATCACTAGAAGGTAGTTTAGAAAACACAGATATAAATAAAATCAAACTTTTAGTCAACATTTTTACATAAGCGGTAAAAATCCTTTCAGTACACTTTTAACTATAGATAAAATTAACTTTGTACTTAATATGACAAAAAAACTCTGCTGTTGGACCTGATAATATACGATTACTATTTTTGGAAAAACTGCCAAACTAAGTGTGTTCTTTAAAATTTTTAACTAAGTGTGGTTAAATAATATCTTTTCAACCTCCTGGACAAGTCAATGCGTATAACTAATATTAAACCAAGCAATGAACGGACTAAAAGTTCCTCATACCGACCTATCTTACTCACCAATCTAATATGTAAAGTCATGAAAAAAAATTAATAAAAGGTTGCTATGGATATTAGAATATAATCACCTGGTTAACGAAGAGAGCAGTTTTCGACAAAATCGAACTACTACTGATAATCTTAATGATTTATACTCTGAAACTTTTGAATCTTTTGCAAACAAACTGAAAACTATTACAATAATCATCTATTACAAAAGCATATGATACAGTCATATGATATTATTAGATTATTTACGATATTATTAGATAACTACACCCGTAGAATAATAAAAGCAATATCCTTAACGGACGGACGCGCGACGGATAAATTATGCGAGATACCGAATGCGTATACCAGATACAGAAGAAACATTACGTTAAAGACCGCTTTCAGACACAAATTCTGTATCTCGCATACAGTATCCTCGTCTGAAAGGCGTCTTAGACGTGTGGTCAACGACAGACTTCTACTGCATAATACAGAACGCCAGTTATTAAAGTTTTTCCGTGCGAGTTCTATTCTGGTCGAAATTTCCTCGTCACTTTCAACCCTGCAGTCCATCCAGCTAACCAGATATCTAAAGTGTTCCACTCTTTCTAGGATTTTGTTATCTAATCTTAGTACTGAGTCTTCGATATTAATTTTTTCGACCACCATCTATTTTGTTGTTTTTGCGTTGATTGTTAAGCCCTTTTCAGTGCATTCGTTGTGTACTGCATTCAACAGGGTTTGAAGATCTTCTAGACTCTCTGCCGTTATTGCGGTGTAATCGGCGTATCTGAGGTTATCAATAATTTTCCTAAACAACGCAATTCAGGTTAAAATCTTAGGAGAAAATTCTAAAATTAAGCATTTATCAAAATTCCCAAAAGACATTAATATACTAAACAAAATTAAGGCTGCAGAATTAAGCAATCATCATCATCATGCATCCAGTTATTGCTAATGCGCTTCAGGTCGTCAGTTGATCTAGTTGGTGGGCGTCCTCTGCTCCGTATTTCTTCTTGCCTTGGTCTCCACACTAAAATACGTTTTGTCCATCGGCTATCCGGTAATCTAGCGACCTCCTGCCCAATTCCATTTGACCGATGCGATTTTTTCGATAGCGTCTGTTGTTTTTGTTCTATGACGTATTTATTCGTTTGGAATTCGGTCTCTCAGAGAGCTGTCAATGCTTTTATTTTCTGATGGCTTATGGTATCTAATGCTTTCTCGTAGTCGACAAATATCAGTACCAATGGTTTATTGTATTCTGTAGACTTCTTTATCAGATTCTTGATCACTAATATATGGTCGGTATAATCTATGGTGATGGTAAACACTGGAAAACAAGAAAAAGGCGAGAAGAGGAGCATAGTTCGATGACGAGTGCAGACAAGCAGTAGAGGAATGGAAGAAAGCACACAAAATTTATATAACAAAAAGAACACGGGTAATACGAACATAATTTAAAGTCCCAAGACGGAAAGCAGACAAGATATGCAAAAATACAAAAAAGCCTATGAAAATGGACAAATAGAAAAATGAAAGAAAATTTTAAAAACAACGAAATAAGAGGGTCTTACGAATACATAAAAAAGATTAAAAGGTGGGTATAAACCTAAAAAACGAGTCTATGTAAAGATGAAAGTGAGCAAATAATCAGTGACCAACAGAAAGTCACAGAAACCTGAAAGCATTATTTTTGAACCTACTTGGTACACAAGTAGACATGAATGGGTACGAACTACGTAGAAGATAATGAAGTAGAGAATGGAGTAGAAGCTACAACCATAAAGGAAGTACTTGAAGCTATTAAGGCCCAGAAAATCAATAAATCCCCGGAAGTTTACGAAATACCAGTAAAATTGTATAAGGTAGGTGGAGACCAGCTAGCAAGTCACATCCACGCGCTCATCAAAGACATATGGCAAGAAGAGAAAATACCTGAGGACTAGAAGAAAAGTATAGTATGCCCGATCTATAAAAAAAGAGACAAACTCCAGTGCAAAAACTACCGTGGAATTTCTCTACTATCTACAGCATCTAAAGTCCTCACGTATACTATAAACCAGCAGCTCGAACCATTAGCAGAAAATATTATTGTAGAGTATCAGACGGGCTACCGATGGGAAAGATCATCACTGGATCAATATTTACAGTCAAACAGATCTTAAGTAAATCATGGGAACATGAAATTGATGTTTACAATGTGTTTGTAGATTTCAAACAGGCATAAGACTCAAACAAAAGGAACAAACTCTACAATATATTTGATGAATTGGCTATGCCACACAAGCTAATTAGACTATTAAAGCCACAATAGATGAAACTCAGGCATGTGTAAAAATACAAAACCACCCAACAGACTATTTCAAAATTTCGCAGGGATTAAAGCAGGGAGATGGGCTGGCCCCAACTTTGTGTTACCTGGAACTGGAGTATGCGGTTAGGTAAATGCAAACTGGATAACCTACTGACCAACCGAACTGACCAACTAATGGTTCAACTGACCGCTAATGCCAATGATATTAATATTATGAGTAGAACATCGACAGGAGCACAGGCAACAGGCAGAGTTAAAAACGCAAGCAAAAATGCTAGGTCTGGAAATTAACACAGAAAAAACAAAAATAATGATGCCTGGAAGTAGAAATATATGCATATAAAATATGAAGAAGTACAAAAGATAATAACGCAGGCAAGCAGAGCTTATGAATGAAAGCTTAAGATGAGAATTTACAATACCTTAATTCGGCCAATAGCATGCTATGGCAGTGAAGCATGGGTCCTGAAAGAAACATTAAAAGCAAACTCAATACATTCGAAAGGAAAGTACTGAGGAGAATACTAGGACCTGTGAGGAAAAACGGAATCTTCGGAAGTCGATATAACAACGACCTTTATCAATTTTATAGGAAAGTACCACTGCCAGACATCATTAGAATACAAAGATTGCAATGGGCGGAATAGGCCTGACATGTGATAAGAATGGGAGAGTATAAGCTATCAAAAAGAGCACTGAATGCTAGAATGCAGAGAAAGAGATTCCTTGGAAAGCCAAGAAAGCGCTGGAAAGACATAGTAAACAGCGAAGCACAAGCCGTTTTAGGAGTCCGTGTATGGAGAAGATCAGCCAAAGACAAGCAAGTGTAGAGGCAAAAAATAAACGAGGCAAAGGCTCAATTTGGGCTGTAATGCCGTAAAAGAGGAAATAGTCGTTAGTGCTGTATTCCGTACTAAATCCAGCTTGTTGTCTAGGCTGATATAAGTCCAGTTTAGCGTCTAGTCATTTTTTGATAATTTTTGTGAAAAGTTTGTATATGTATGAAAGAAAACTAATAGAAAAGTAGTTTTTTAAATCTGTAATGTCTCCTTGTTTGTGTAATAAATTAATAATTGCATTATTTCATTGAGAAGGAGTTTTTCCTTGGTAGATGCATTCGGTGAAAAGCTTGGCCAAAGCCTGGATAATTTTATTTTTACCTAGTTTGGATTTGGAATTATATACAATACATAAACACATAATACATATACACACACTACAAACACTACAAATCAGATCGACCTCAGGGTACAACACCCTCATAATTTTCTACTCACAATAAGGCTATTGACCTGCTAGATCGAAGCCAGATAAGTTCACTGATAATTTTGGTCAAAAAGCACCAATTGTAATAGCCACTTTGAGTTTTGAATTCTTTCTGTTAAACTAGTTTCGGACTGAAAATCGAAACGGCTGAACAAATAAATAAAAAAACCTAATCTGTTAAGTTGACAAACTCTGAAATAAGGACAACTTGCATAAATAAAATTACCATTTTCATAAATAATTTACAAATTCCAAATGTCAAACATCTATTAAAAACAGATCAGAAGCCCAAAACATAAATGCCATACATAATAGTGTCAGGCTCAATTTCATATTGAAAACTTCGTTTTAAAGAAAGATGCTAACTTATAAATAAAGGTAACAAACTGTAGGTAAAACACAAAAAAGTACACAAATAATATTGTGATCATATTAAGACCAAAACATAAATTTTAAATAAAAAATATTGGGTAAATTCAAAAACGACATAAAAAAAGTTATTGGCGAAAAATACAAGTGATGGCGAATAACTTAAGGGAAACAACAGCTCGCAGAATGATAATCTTATAATATACATATATCTTGAATAATTAGTAAGAAAAGCAATGGCATATAAACAGTAGGGTGTATCACAAAATTGTTTTTTTACTATTTAATTTTTCAAGTTGATAAAAAGTTGTTACTACCATCGTAGATCTACCAAAAAAAATCTGTTTGAATTCCAACAATAATAAAGTCTCCCCGAATGCACAAAAAGTTTATAATTTTTTGTAAAAAAATACGTTTTTGAAAAAATAATTTACACAGTTTATAAATTACAAATGATGTAATCGACTTAAAAAATGTGTATTTTTACATTTAATTTATCCATAGTAAACATTTTGGTTCTGAGTTAAATTATTTAGGTAACCCGGAATTACCCTAAATATATCACAATTTTCATATTTAATTCAAGTTTGACATGAATCAGAAATAGTAAAAAAAATTCCAATACAATCATTACAGTGCTGTATTTTAATGCAATGGAGAATGCCATACAAGAAGAACACATATCTTTGGTCAAGGAACCAGGTTCAGCATATTTCGGTCATGTAACTCCAAACAGTGGATCTGGTAAAGATATAGTATCATCAATATAAAGTTACATGAGTGATAACTCCATTGATAACTCAAATATCAAACTTAAGTCCGTCAGCTAAGCAGAAGTTGATATTGGAGACGGGCAGCTGGCACTGACTTGTGAGTCACCGGATGTCTGGCGTCTGGCTCCCCTCCACTACTCACTCACACCCTTTGTTTCTGTTAGTCTGACTCCACCGTTCAATTTGACAACACGTGGTTTGCGCGTTATTACATGTATTTCAGTGTGTTTTGTTTAGTGTGTGTGGTTTATGACTTGTGAATTCCGTGTGGTTTTGTTGTTTTTCTATCATGAGTAAAAAGACAAACACTATAACAACGAGGAAATGCACTGAAGCTCCTATAGTCGGACAACCTCTTGACATTAGTAATATTAATGTTTTACCTACTAAAAGTGACGTGCTGATGTATTTTGAATGGGTGAGAAATCAGTTGAAATCTGAAGGATGCTACCAACCAAAAAAAAAAAATTTAATTGCAATGCGGTGACACATAAGTTAGAGCAAATTTGGAAAAAATCATCAATACCTGTTTCATCTACTAACAATATTGTTTTTATGATTTTACAATTGCATGAGAGGTGTGAAAAGATTAACAAATCTTCAGGTTGTAATACAAAAAATGCCAAGAGTTTTATAGTTGCAGTTGAAACGTTTAGATCTGACATTGATAATAGTCTTTTTGATATTTGTTCATGCAAATATAGTGAACTAGACAAATGTTTGTACCTAGCTCCAAGAAAAGTACCAAAATTAGAACATACATTCTTGACAGACCAATGGAACTTGAGTATGATGATTATCGGAGGTATTGACCAAGCAGAGACTAAAAAAATTGAAAAACGAAACAAACGAAAGGAAAAGTCCCTGCAATATAAATAAAGTAGGAATGTGAAACTAACTACTCCACCTGATTTAATAAATGTGGATATTCTTAGTAGTGACTCTGATGATGAATCCATGGAAGAAGAATCAAGTAGGCCTGATGAAAAAGTTCAAGGTTCTAAAATAACTCATCTAAGAAACAAAATTGAAATTCCAAGCGTGAAAGTAAAACAAGGCCTGCCAGTGGATCTATCATTGTTTTCTAGGGCATGTGATCGCAGAGGCATTTCAAACAGAGCAGGTGCTCAACTAGCAAGTGCTCTTTGAATCTCATATCACCAGAAAACCAAGCCGCAGTTATTGACAAGTTCAAGATTTTTCGTGAAAGGTTAAAGTACCGCCGAAGTATTAGTTCAACTCGCACAAATGAAATAATTGCTCTTTACTTTGATGGTAGGAAGGATGAAACCATAATCAAAGAAATTGTACTTGGGAAATCTGTCCGTAAAACCATACAAGAAGAACACATATCTTTGGTCAAGGAACCAGGTTCAGCATATTTCGGTCATGTAACTCCAAACAGTGGATCTGGGAAAGATATAGTATCATCAATATTAAGTTACATGAGTGATAACTCCATTGATAACTCAAATATTAAAGCGCTTGGATGTGATGGTACGGCAACGAATACTGGAACCAGTATTCCCTTGGTTCTAGATCGAAGAAGTATCACAATACCTGTGGCTTTGAAGGCTAACTGAATTTGTTTAGCCAACATCCTTCAAGATGAAATAAAGAAATATTTTAAAGTTTTTCTTTGTTAACTTTTTATCTGCAATCTTTAAGTAAACTTTTTTATTTCTTTAATAAATTTCGTACCTCAAAAACAGTCTTTTATTGTTTTAACATAAAATATCCTAAAGTTTATATAAGTAAATATGTAATTTATTGTTCATTAATTGTGTTATAAAATACTAATAATCCTACTAACCTAAGTAGAAGCAACAAACAGGTTTAACACCTAATCATAATAAAGAGAAGATATTTATTTTTCGTTGTTACAATTGAGATTTTCATAAAGATTCTGGGTGACTTTATGCTTAGTTACAGATATTATCCTAATTTTTATTGTTCACTGTTATCACGTACTTAATATTTTTTAAGTTGAAAATAAAAATATAAAATTAAATTTTCAATAAAAAAAAAGATGAAAAATCGTGTTTTTGAGAAAAAATTCTAAAGTTTAAGTCGATTCCGGGGGACCTAAATATGTTTTAATTAAAACAAAACTTTTTTTCCCTGAAAGAGTAATGTAAGTGGCAACTTTTTATCACCTTAATAGTTTGAATTTCAAAAATTCATTATTTGAGTATTTATTATGATACACCCTAAGAAACAGTGTTCATCAATAAACGAAAGAGACTAATATATATATATATATATATATATATATATATATATATATATATATATCGTTGATTGGGAAGAATAGTATGATATTTCAAAAACATTAAATTTTCAGAAATGGCGATTAAAGATTGAGATGGGTTTCGAGATCGAATAACTTAAGCAATACATTACTAAATATCCTTTTGATCATAATAATTAAGGCTTACAGTAGTAACTGACAATATAAGTTTTTCATCCGATCCATATACCAGCCCCAACCCATATTTTTCATCCCCATTTTGAGTTATAATAGTTTTCTATATAAATATCTTGTGTTGTTTTACAATTATTAGTTTATTAGGGACAATAAAATGGAACAGTTTAAAAGTTTTATTTGAGTATAAACAACAAACGAATGATAAAATAGCAGCTGTAGTACAATATCAGTATAAAAACATAAAAAGCTTAGCCTTCCATTAAAAAAATTAAAGTTTCTACAAGTTAGCGTAAAAATCCCTATAGTATTGTGGCATTACCGCTACATTTTTTTTCTTTGCAAAGAGAGAGAGCAAGCCAGCTTTCTTTTTTTCATTTATTCCTACCTTTTTCCTATAAGCTTGTTTAAGAGTAACATCACGTGGTGATGGAACTCGTCGTTTGCTTTGAAGAACGTTTAAGGAATTAAATTCCTCTTGTTTGTATGACATTTTATACATCAAATGACTAGGATTTTCTTTCGTAACTTTTAATATGCATATTCCTGAGAGAGGGACTGAATCACCTTCTTCCGTTTTAAAAGAATCCTTCATCCCCATATCACTTGAGAGTTGTTTCAGATCAAAAAAATTCTCATAACACATTTCATGTACGGTGAATGGATTTCCATTCTTCTTTGCTTGTCTAACCAATGTTACATATTGATCTGGTACGTAAATTGGAGAAAATTTTTTAAATTTAGTAATTGAACGTTCTATAATAGAATGGACATGGTCTCCCTCGTTCTGAGTGTGACCACTAATTAAAAATTTATGGGTGATGGACCTAATATTTTCTAGAACAGAAACAGCATGTATGTATAAAGCAAATACGAAGCGGTTCTTATTTTGACCGAAACAGTTGTCAGTATAAAATACAACATCTACCATTTCAGTATTTTTTGCGTTCACAGACTGCAAATAAGCCCAAACGCACGAACCCACTTCATTTGCGCCTCTGTGAGCTAGACCTTCATGCCACATAAAGCACATTGCTTCCGTGCTTTTAAGCTCGTACAATGTTAAATTATACACACTTAGTTTTGATACATAATAAAAAGAAGACGAGTCCCCTTGCGGGCATGGCAATGCTGCCTGCATATCATAAACAGCGACAATTTTATCTGGAGAATGTTTATCTATGTCCTTCTCTTTTCTTGACAGTTCTTTGTCTTCAATATGGTTGTTGTACTGTTCCTGAAGTTCTTGTTTTTCTAACTCGGAGGCATTAATAAAACCCTGGCAAAAATCACACTTATCTTTTTTTGGAATAAAAAAAGATAAATTAAACTCTCCCTTGAATATATTGGAGTACATCAAATAATTTACGCTCGGCTTCTCGAGTTCTTTGCAATGCTGCTCATAATCTCTGTGGAGGTCGGCAATAGTTTTTCCTCCTTCAATGTATTCTTTCTTTGATTGAGATCGGCAGTAGTGGCTCTCCATTCGAGGAATAGATCGGATATGATTACGCACTTCTTCTTTTAACTCCTCAGGAACACTGCTATGTTTTTGGTGTCTGCCTCGATTATCTGCCTGTATAATTCCATTTACGTCATTATTTTGTTTGCGTAAAACGGTTTCAATTACTTGAGAGTTAATGCAAAGGGTTGCCATGAAGAAGGACTTGCAAACACGAATTTTTTCTCCTGCGTATGTGAAAAAAAATGCGTTATTAAGACCACGTATTTTTTTAACCGAACTTGTATACCGGTATCTTGGTTTTATGGTTGTAGTACAAGATGCAATATACATTCTTTGTTTTTGAAGGTCAGCCATACTCCAGTAATCGTCGAAAATTTTCTGTCTTTGTTCATCTGCTAACTTAAGTGAACATTTATAACGACATTTATCAGCATTGCAAGGGGGTCGCATTATTCTAGCCTTACGATTGACTAATACTCGATCTTTGGTTCCATCTTCATTTTTCGTGATTTTTATTGAAGCATAACTTTGGCCACTATTCCTCATCATTTTAGCAACATTTTTTTGCCACTGAGATATCTTTCTCTTTCGCTTTTTTACATTTTCTGGTGGGGGACATGGGTTTTTAACAGAGCGTCTTTTGTTGCTTAAATTTTGGTTCCAAATTAAAGGAGGCCCCTCATCAGAAGAATCATCAGAGGATGACGAAGAACTATTTGAAGAATAATTTGGGTCGCCTGAGGTGTTATCAAAGACTGAACTACTAGAGGAACTGGTTGATATGGAAGACGAAGAGCTGCTACTGTCCTTTTCACGCTCACTACTGATTGTAACGTCATTATTTATAAACGTTGGTCCTCTTTCATCTTCAGCACCTGTTGTTTCATAGATAGTTGGACTTTTTTGGTTTTCTTTGTTTTCAAAATCAACAGCCATATGAAAATATTGTTCGTATTGTTTTTCAGCTAAAGGAGAAGCAATTTTAGGATTTTCATTTGTATCAGTAGTAAACTTGTTGACAGAATCACTGACTATGGGAAAATTATTGGTTTCACTTTTATTAGTCACAAATAATTGTTGAGTATACAAACCGCTACTTTCATGTCTGGCATTATCTTCATCTGTTTCGCAAATCTTACTAGCGAGGTCTACTAGAATACGACTTCTATTCCCACTCATTTTCTAGAACAAAATATTATCCATTAGGTCCATAAAAAATTGTGCAGTCAACACACATAATATTTATTAATTCTTTTCTACACACGGATTGAAATTTGAACCACCAAATTTTTGTTACATGTCGCACAGTCGTTTACAAAATGAATCGCTTACTAATCTATTTTTATCAAGTTACACCTACGCAAGAGGTTTGTATTAAATACTTATTCCCTCTGACCCTATTAAAAAATGTTATCTTTAACTGGTAAAATTCCCACGGTTTAGATATCGGCCAAACGCGAATGGTTGTTGGATGAATCAGTTGTTTCTTGAAAAGTATCATTTCCAACGTACTAATGAATAAATCAATAATAAAATCTCTTGCAGTAGAGTTTTCAAAGAAATGAAAATCTCAGTTTAATTAAGTATCTAGTAAGAAAAAATATTTTAAGGAATAGAATGATAAAACGAAATAATTTCTTGGATTTGAGTTAAATTATGCTGAAGACAATGTTAACTAAAAATAACAAGCTATACTTAGGGCAAAATTCTATTCAAAACTATATTAACTCAAAATGAAATAAAGATAAAAAGCTCACTGGTGTACTTATTTTATTCAAGAGTATGATATTATTTGTAATCATCATATTGACCAAGATTATAATAAAAATAAATGCTTACCTGTTAAAGAAGAGTATGATATTTTGAAATATAATTCTCTTGATCCAAAAATATTCACTAATAAGACGCAAGCAGTTTGAATATTTTGACTTGTAATAGTATTGATTAAATAAAAATATCTTAAGTCTAGCGCGAACTGTAGACAACTAAGTTGCCCGAGTCTTCTCCATAACGGTTGTGTGGAAGTGGGAGATGCCATAGTTGGTCACAGAGCCCTCTAGAGCTTGTCGTTTAAATTGCAGTTGTAATACTTTTCTTCCTAATAGATCCATTCATTCTGAGTAGTTTGATGACATAAATTAAAAATGAACCAATTTTGACTTATCATACTATTCTTCCCAATCAACGATATATATATATATATATATATATATATATATATATATATATATATATATATATATATATATATATATATATATATATATATATATATATTGATGAGGGTCTATTGACTATAGTTGCACTCGTAGATTTGTTTTGTAACCAAAGAAATTCGTCAAGTATTTTGAAAATTAAACTAAACATTAAGTCACATATTATAGTTATTTGTTATTCTATGTAATCTACAATATAGTACCAAAACTATACTCTATGAAGCGGCTCACGCTTTTTCTATATTATTAGCTTAATTTAATAATATTGTTATTATTTATTTTTATTTTGTTTCGCATTTTATTTGAATCATGTACAAACTAAGCCTCTATAAATAAAAAGAAAATTAATAAGTTTGTGAAATTATCGAATTTAAATGCCCTGTGCAATATGCCCATTATGTGTGTAGAACCGTTAAACTATAAAAATATAGGAAAGTAAAAGTACCGGTCAAATACATCTTCGTCTGTCATACGTATACAAAAGTTAATTATTTTAATATTTAATAAAAGTAGTATAACAAATGTTTATTAATGAAAATAATAATTTCAAGAAATATAATAGGCAGGAGCGAGAATCGAAAACAATCACCAGTAATTAATTTTGAAAATAAGCAAAATAAACAAAGCTAAATAAAAATTGCTTTAACTAACCCTTTAAATCTGTCGATTTGTTAAAGATTATATAGCAAAACTAGATTACTGAAAATAATAAGTTTTAATAAAAAATATACCTAGTAAAATGTTCAATAACTGAGACTACATCGAAATTCTGTTGAAACTGGGTTGACTCCTAAATGTTTCAGGCACAACTAAACCATTATTTACGGTTTCCGAGAGAATATTATGTAACCATTGCCAAGTTTACTGGATTCCGAACAAGTCGTTGAAATTCACCGTTTTCTAAATTATGTAACATTTAAAGCAAAATATTGCAGAATATACTCGCCTAATATGTTTTTTTCTTAAAAAGAATTATTAGAGGCCTTTATTTTTAGACATAAATAAGTAAAGGGTTTAAACATAAAAAAGAAAATGTATAACACTAAGTTGATTCGTCAATTTTATAATGTGCATGCCCTATAATTTTCTGCTATAGAGGTATCTAGATCGCCTTATTTCAACTATTTTATACCATATGATTTAAAAGCGAGTACTTAAAAAATCATACTTACTGAAAAAACGTATTTTACAAAAGCACAAAAACATTTTGACATGAGTCACCAAAGCAAGCCCTCGTCGTAATTTTAACTAACGGGGTAATTCTACTAATATCGTACTTTACTATCGTAAAGAGACAAGATTAGAAACACCGAGATAAGACGTAGAACGAAGATTAGGGATATTGTGGAAGAAATTACAAAAATGAAATGGCGCTGGGCAGGTCACGTAGTCCGATATAATGACAACAGGTGGACACGTAGAATTCTAGAATGGAGACCAAGGACGACAACAAGAAGCATGGGAAGACCTCAAAAAAGACGGGTAGATGGCATATGAGCAGCGGCAGGCAAACAGTGGATTAGATTGGCGCAAGATAGAGAAAGATGAAAGCAAGTGGGAGAGACCTACATTCAGGAGTGGATGGAAAATGGTTGACAAAGAAGAATAAGTGAAGCCATTTGTGAAGAAGCATTATTATCTCAAAGTGAAATAATAATAATTAACGAAAGATCTATTAACAACATAAGATATGCAGATGACACCGTGATTATGGCAAGCTCTGCTAAACAACTCCAATTACTACTAAACAAAACAAACAGTTTTTGTGAAAAAAATGAACTAAAAATGAATATAAAAAAGACCAAATACATGACAATAACAAAGAAAATAACTAGGGAAATGTATCTATAGAAAGGGTTGATAAATATAAATACCTAGAAACCTGGATTTCAGACAATAATGATCAAACAACCGAAATAAGAGCTAGGGTAGAAATAGCAAGAAATGCGTTTGTAAAAATGAAAACAATTCTCTGCAACAAAGATCTTAGATTAGTACCTCCTGAGAATAAGAGCACTGAGATGCTATTTGTTTTCGATCCTGCAATATGGAGTTGAAAGCTGGACATTGAAGCAAGAACACATAAATAAGTTACAGTCCTTTAAAATGTGGTGTTACAGGAGGATGCTTAGAATAGCATGGACACAGAAGAAAACTAACACAGAAGTATTGCCAAACATGGGCAAAGAATGTGAAATAATAAAATAAGAAAGTTACAATATCTGGGACATGTAATGAGAGGACAGCGATATGAAGTGCTAATGCTAATAATACAAGGAAAGATAAGAGGAGGAAGGAGTATAGAAAGAAGGAAAGTGTCATGGTTGAAGACTTTAAGGGGCTGGTTTAAATGCAGTTCTATAGAACTCTTTAGAGCAGCAGCAGATAAAGTAAAGATAGTGATGATGATATCTAACCTCCGATTCAACATCGTTTAAGGCTTCCAGTCGATACAAAAAAATGTATTTAACGGAGCAAAAGCAGTCCAGAATAGATATTTTTTACGAGATCTGAAGATGCGTATGTTCAGCTACTTATGTAACTTAATAATAATTCTAATTATGATTGTTAGTCTTCCGCATTAGGTCATAAATGCATAAAAAAATAAATATTTTTTAATAAATATTAAAATAACCAATATGCTTTAAAAATTGTATAAAAACCGATATTGATTTATGAGAACAATTTGATGTGTGATTTGTATAAAAGAATTACTAGGAAAATTTAAATTTTATACCTAAGATAATAAAATAATTTAGCGTAACGCCTGGCAACAATGTATTTCAAACTGGAGCCGATGCGACTACCCTGAGAATTCTGAAGGGCAATAAGAATTGATTCGAAAACGCCAGTGTAAGTAAGTAAACAAGAAGATACCAAATAAATTTTGTAGGAAGTTTTTATGTCTGTCGGGCCAAACTATATGAATATGCATGACCTATCTCTATTTCCTTTTCTTAATATCTGAAATAAAATGGGGTTGTCTCATTAAACTTTTTCGCAAATAATGTATACATGATTTAAAAATTTAAATTGCAAAATACGGTACGAAAATAATAAATAAAAATAAAATAAATATATAAAAGTTAGCAAGATAACGCTAAACTAGTTATTATTTTTAATTAGAAATTAAAATAACAAATAAGGGGGTAACATATATAATTCGATGGCGGAGTATGGTGGTCGACAGGTGGTCTATTATGAGGAGCTCGTTGGACGTCCAGCTTCTAGGGTGCGCTGGCTAACTGGCGGTCTTGATAGAATGGAAGAGAAATCTAAAGAAACAGCCAACAGAACACAGTCATGTGAAGATTGTGATGTGGATAAATTAAACGATATTTTAGATAAGTATTTAAACAACATAGGTAGTATTTTAATAGTTATTTTATAACAGCAAAATCTGAGAGTATTTCACCATTGTTTGGATTAAATAGCTCACTGGTCTGTAACTGGTCTCAAGCGCGAGTAAAGAGAATAGTTGAAACAATGGGCTAGTAACTTATTTCGTAAATATTTATTCGAAAAGTGTTTAAATCAAAATCCTCAGAATTTAGACTAAAATACGGTACGAGGAACGCAACGGAAAAGGGTAATGAGAACGGAAACCTGGAACATTCAGAGAGCAAGAGAACAAAAAAATAAAAGTATTTAAATATATTTATGCCCGTAGTGAAATAGAGAAAAATGAAAAAGAAATTAATGAAAAGAGATTATACCTTTCTGTAATGTAGTATGTAGAGTAAGTATGTAGTGTAGTATGTATGTAAGTTCTAGAGCAAAAAGTGGCGTTTCTATAGCTATATATAAAAACAAGAAAAACAACATTAAAAGCTGGTTCATTACACGGCTGATTTAATTAGTGCTTTTTTGCTGTCTAGTCAGAACAAATGGTACTGCTAATAAACAATAAATAGTTAGTGGAGGGAGAACGGAAGAACGCAGTGAGAATCTGGTAGAAGTAAAGCA